ATAACTGCCAGGTAGTTTTAGGAGGTTACCAGCGTCGGTTATGGCATCCCATGCCAACCGACATGTCTCTTGTATTAGCGTCGATTCATCATATTTATATACATGAAATCGGCTTCCATGTTAGTGTGTGTGTGTGTGTGTGTATCTAAGTATTCTTTCTACAAATGGGTTCAGCTGCATCAAAGAGTTTTGGTCGTGAAATCAAAAGTGGCGAAGTTCTTAAATCGAAACTTACTAAAGGTTTGCAATCATCATCCTCAGCGCAACAATGCTAACTGATGTTTACAAAGATTGCTATCTGAAAAACATAAAGTGGTCTTTTCCATCTATGCATAGTGAGTGAAACACCATTTGAAATTTCAATTGAAAGATTTTGGATCCAATTACTTATTCTCAATTATAGTCACGTATATATTTGTCATAAAGTATACATTTTTATTTGATTTTTTGCGCTGAGGATGATGGTTGCGAACCTTTAGTAAGTTCCAATTTAGGAACTTCGCCGCTTTCGATTTCACGACCAAAACTCTTTGATGCAAATGAACTCATTTGCAGAAAGAACACTTAGATACACACACTTATAATTTGAGAGAGAAAACAATCACTTGAGGAAGAAACTTCTATTCAATAATGGGAAATTGCATACACACACTAAGATGGAAGCCGATTTCATGTATATAAACATGATGAATCGGCGCCAATACAAGAGACATGTCGGTTGACATGGGATGCCATAACCGACGCTAGTAAACTCCTAAAACTACCTAGCGGTTATTTACATAATGAGGTGTCACATCCTCTTTAATTTAGCCTAATTTAACATAAACCTTATACTAAAATAATAATATAAAGTTTTGACATTTAAATAATTCCAACAATTTCCCTCCTAAATGTCAAAACGTCTTCAAGCAGCTTCAATATTGAATCTTTACAGTATGATCACAAAATCCTCACCTTCAGCTAAATCATCGCTCGGGTCCTTGTCTCCCTCCGAATAGTAGTCATCAATGCTCGGGTCTTCGTCTTCTGCCTACACACTTTTTGATACCTTGCTGTCCTTGAGTTGAACTGATGTCTTGGTGGTGTTTCGATCTTCCTGACCATTCCCTCTGGTGCATCTACCATTCGAGGTACCTACGCCATCGTCTACCTGACAACCCTTTGTGTCTTGAGTCCTGTCGGGCATACTCCCGTACTTCTGACTCTCAATGCTCGTGTAGTTTTCGTACCATTTATGAGCAAAAACAAAGTTTTCGTGTGGGTGCAGAAGATAATCAATAAACAATCTGTTAAATGCCTCACCATAACATTCCGAAAAACCAAAGTTCTCTGCGATCTCGTTCCAAAGTCCATTCACGGTGATGATTTCGTGTCCTCCATGACCTATGATCGATTTGTAAAGATCGAATAGATACACTTTCAATCCCGATACCTTTGGTGGCACAACAAATTTTTCATTGTCCTTGATCTTAAAAAAACATACGAGTGCTTCGTTAAATTTCCTTTCGAAAAATTTCTTATTTGCATAAGCAATTCGGTCACACTTGACAAAAATCATTAAACTGGTAAAGTCGTCGAGAGTTATAATATGTACAGGCGCAAAACTCCCACGAATCTCGATTTTTTCTTCCTCGATCATTGGCTTCTTCCTTTTGTCACATATATTTGAATCCGTACTCACGAAGTCCTTCTTTTCTCTTGTTTCTTTCTTGGAACCGTCACACATGTGAGTGATTTTGCACTTCAAATCACTCACTTCCAATTCGAAACCTTGGAGTATAAGTTGCTTCATACTCAGAACATTGATATTAACTTCCGATACAAATGATACATAAGGTATGACATACGTTCTTTCGTTCGTATTCAAACTTATTTCACGGATACCATGCACATATATAGGATCGAAGTGACGTTCTTCATCATTAATGAAGAGACACTCCTTAAAATTATCGAACATCTCCTTTGTAAAAGACATGTGCTTCGAGATTTTAGTATTTACGTACCAAATCGTGTTCCAATATCCCGTATCCGTACCTACGACCAAGAAGTCTCCATTTACGATGATTCTTTCGGTGTGCGTCTGTTGGTAGGGCAGCAGGGGACCAAAAATTCGAGGAATCTGATTCTCGCTGCTTGTTCCGGCTTCTGCCGTATGTAGCACGACCATTTCTGCATCGAACGCGTCATCTTCCTCTGGCAATCCCAGGCAAAATGCCCCTTCAACATGCATCGATAGCATGTTGGTTTCTTTGTTCTTGTCTCACTCCTTTCACGGCTGTTGTTTGGGTTGCATCGCAACTTTGCTGTTTTCTCATTTCCATGGACTCGTGCATGTGTTTCGCGAAGTTGTTGAAGAATCCTCATTGACTTCCTCCTTGTTTGTTCTTGCTTGCGTTTTTGATCCAACCATTGGCTCTGATACCACTGTTGCGCTAAGGATGATGGTTGCGAACCTTTAGTAAGTTCCAATTTAGGAACTTCACCTCTTTAGATTTCACGACCAAAACTCTTTGATGCAGATGAACCCATTTGCAGAAAGAACATTTAGATACACACACTTATAATTTGAGAGAGAAAACAATCACTTGAGAACGAAACTTCTATTCAATAATGGAAAATTGCATACACACACATGGAAGCCGATTTCATGTATATAAACATGATGAATCGGCACAAATACAAGAGACATGTCGGTTGGCATGGGATGCCATAACCGACACTGGTAACCTCCTAAAACTACCTGGCGGTTATTTACATAATGAGGTGTCACATCCTCTTTAATTTAGCCAAATTTAACATAATTTTTATACTAAAATAATAATATAAAGTTTTGACATTTAAATAATTCCAACAGATTTCAGTACATATAGTTGTATTACATTTCCTCGAGGATTATCAGTGTATACAAATTTTTAATTTTCCAATTAAAGATCATGTACGAACTGTGTCAAAAATTGCGTTGAACCCTTTCTTCTTTACACGTTTCCAACTTGATATATATTGTATTGTTGTGTGGACCTAACGCACTTTACAAACAAACCCATGATTAATTAAGTGTTTTAGCATTGTTTGTTCATCATCTGTTATTTATTTTTAACGAAGACCAACCGGTTTAAAAATAATAAATATTTATCATATTTGTTGAAAATATATCAAGGAGACAATGAGCAATTCCCACAACTGTTAGGCTAATTGCAAATTGCAGATTCAGATTGCAGATTGCGACTCTAGGCTTGGCACACAACCCTTAGATAAATCTCCTAGTGGCCACAAGCGTATATGTAGAGAATTTGAATTCGGGTTAAATTTTATCATCCCATTATCCTTATCTATACTACTTGTTAGAAACTAACAAACCATTAAATTATTTACTATATAATGTCCCGTTTTTATTCATAAGTATCTAAAATGGGGCCTGCTTGTTCTAGTGTTGTCTTCAGTTTTTAGGTTCAAATCTGGATGTGTTTGGAATTTTGCCAATCTTGCAAGACATGGGCATGCACTTTCAATTATTTAACTTCATTTTCACGATGGCGAGTTCATTTAAGATTCTTAAGTTCACGTTTGGTTTGACGTGTTGGGTTTTTCTTATGGTTTTAGCCCATGAGGAAGGCCCATATATGTTTTGGCCCATATATATAGCCCTCTTGCAGCCCTAGTTCTTAGATTTTAATTGTGCAGCCAAAAATAGAGAAAAAAAAAAAGAAGAAAGGAGAGAGCTCCAAATATTTTCGTCACTTTTGACACAGCAGCAGAAAAACTCTGTTTCCCCGAGATTGAATGGTCGGATCGTCGTGATTTTTTGGTCAGTGTCTTCACAACATCTGAGCCAACGTTTTGGACGGTCGGATCGTGGTTTTGAGGTCTGGAGGTCAGGTTTTCTGGGGGTTCTTCACAACAGCTTTTGTGGTGATATTCTCTTCACTTTTGCCTATTTTGGTTCCATAAATCTTGATGTGCTTATTTCCAAGTGTATGATGGTTTTGTATGCCTCTAGTATAATCTAGAGAAGACTTTGTATTGCTCTAATATTGGTGGTAGTGGATTCAAAGCGGCTCTAGTAGTCCCGTGGTTTTTACTCTCGTTTTGAGGGGTTTTTCACGCTAAAATTTCGTGTCTCATTGTTATTGTTGTTTTTACGTCTTGGGGGCTGTTTTACTTACATTTAAAATACCCTATTTTTTTGCATCCTCAAAGGTTCATTCGGGTCGGGAAAGTTTAGCCTAACGAAGGTTAATTCCGCATTTATTGTTTACCGTTAGTGGCTTCGTTTTTCCCATCATGACGGACTATATATTTCTGAGTGATATGGATTTTATGGAAAGATTTGGAAATCGAGGGATTTAATATCTTTGGTGTGTTTAGTTTGTAGGATTTGAATTTCATTCTTTATAAAAAAATTGTACGAACAAGTTATAAAGACAACTAAATTCCCTTTTATTAATTGATTATCACAAAACACTGTCTTTTAACACATTTTGGAACAGTCTTACAAACAACTACTATGAATTTATGGTGAATACCAACTATTCCCATAGAATTTCCAAATCCCATGTTTGTAGGATTTCATTGAAATTCCTTGATTTCAAATTCATGCATTCCATCAAAAGACATAGGGTGCGTTTGGTTTGCAGGAATGTTTTTGAGGGATTTGGATTCCCAGGAGGGATTTGGATTCCATGGGATTTGGATTGGATTGGATTTAAAATCCATCATGTGTTTGGTTTGCAGGATTTGGATTGGATTTGAAATTCATTCCTCTGTTTGGTTAGTAGGATTTGGTTTCTAATACTTCGTATAATTTTTTTAACCTAATATGTGTTCATGTATATTCAACCTAATCTGTTAAAATTGAAGGATTTAACCTAATCTGTGTTCATGTATATTCAACCTAATATGTCAAAATTGAAGGATTTAACCTAATATGTGTTCATAGTTTAGAGAGAAATTGAAAAGGGGAAAAGGGGAAAAGGGGAAAAGGGGAAAAGGGGAAAAGGGATTTACCTATTGACGATGGGCGACGGAGACGAAGGGCGACGGAGTCGAAGGGCGACGGCGACGGTGAGCAACAAAGACGAAGGGTGACGGCGGTGGCAACGGAGACGAAGGGCGACGGCGACGGTGAGCAGCGGAAACGAAGGGCGACGGTGAGCAACGGAGACGAAGGGCGACGGCGGTGGCAACGAAGACGAAGGGCGACGGCGACAGTGAGCAATGGAGGAGACAGTGATGTAATCTGTGACGAGAACGGTAGAAATCGGTACCAAGGACGAGAATGGTAGAAATCGGTACCAATGGAGGAGACAGCGATGAAGGGCAAGAATGAAATCCCACGGGAATGAATTTCAAAATCCCGTGTATTTTCAAAGGATTCTCAAATCCAGTGTTGGTGGGATTTTAAATGAATCCCAGGATTTTAAATCCTACCATTGTTACAAACCAAACGCAGGATTGGAATGGATTTCAAATCCAAATCCTTCCAATTCCATTCCATTCCTGCAAACCAAACGCGCCTTATACACTACTAGAAAACCAGGTATCAGCGAGGGAAATTTTCCCTCGCAGATCAGCGAGGGATCAGCGGAGAAATGACAAAAAACTCATTCCCTCGCTGATCCCTAGTTGATCCCTTGCTGATCAGCGAGGGATTAGCAAGGGAATTTCCAAAAAAATTCATTCCCTCGCTGATCTGCGAGGGAAAATTTCCCTCGCTGATCCCTCGCTGATCTGCGAGGAAAAATTTCCCTCGCTGATCCCTCGCTGATCAGCGAGGGAAATTCCAAAAAACTCATTCCCTCGCTGATCCCTCGCTAATTTGCGAGAGAAATTTCTTCTACAAAATCCCTCGCTGATCCCTCGCAAATCAGCGTGGGATCAGCGTGGGATCAGCGAGGGATATTTCTATTTTTCCTATTTTCTCATTTTTATGTGTTATATGTACATATTTTTATGTGTTGATATCGTATGTATGCATGTCATGTGTTGTTTGTGTGTGTGTGTGTATATATATATATATATATTGTGGTTGCTAACTGCGATATATGCATGTGTTATAAGTATATATACCCGTCGTGAGGGATCAAAATGATATACATTCATATATACACATACGTTTAAACATATATTCATCCATCCAATCGTGGTTAGCAAGTAGTACACATCGTGTATATATGTGTATATATAATTTACCGACGGGTATATATATATATATACATATAACACATACAACGTCGTGTAAACATATAAGTATATAAGATGGGCTAACGGGTATATATACTTATAACACATGCATATATATATACACATGTATACACGATATATATATAGATGTGTAGTGGTTGTAACCACGATTGGATTGATGTTTATATACTCGTCAAGTCGGTTTTATTAGGCTTTATTGGTTTTATTGGGCCTAAATGAGATTTATTCGGTTTTATTGGGCCTTAATGGGCTTTATTCGGTTTTATTGGGTCTTAATGGACTTTATTCGGTTCTATTTGAGCCTTAATGGGTTTTATTCGGTTTGGTTGGGCCTTAATGGGTTTATATTTGGGCCAAATAAAACTGAATAAAGCCCATAAAACCGAACAAAACCCAGTTAAATGGGTTAAGCCCTGATAAATAAAAAAAATAAAAATAAGACAATTCCCTCGCTGATCAGCGAGGGATCAGCGAGGGAATATTATTTTTGCAAAATCCCTCGCTGATCCCTCG